CTCCTACAATCATAAAAAATGTGGACATGAGATGGGTCCGAGCTAGCATCTCCTATATATATTTTAAGTTCATATCTGTCACATTAAGAAGGGATACACTCAAAATGTTCTTGAATGGATTCTAAGCTGTAAGAAGGGAATACCAAAGTGACAGACAGACAGACAGACACATGAATTTCAATGTCTTACCTGACCTATTCTTTTTCTTTAATTTTCTTAGTTTAAGTGGAATATTTTAGGGTAGGGTCAACTGAAGAGAATTTTTCCCCACCATAACCACCAAAACCACAACAATAAGATTACTGTGCACTGGACTTATACATATTCATAAAAAACTGCCTTTCCTAACATGACTTCTACAAAGGTCAAGAAGAAAAAAAGTTGCGATCACCATTCCTTTTTTTTCCTTTTCGGACAGGTACCTCTAAGGCAGGGTTCCCATACCTAGATTGATCTAACAGGATCAATCCATCTCCAAGGGGTTTCTCGCTATATTGCCTTCAGCTTAAGCAGCTTAGATGTCAGGCACACCTACTGAAGCTGCAAAACTACAATTAATTACCCCCTAGCAGCTTCAGTAGGCGTGGCAGATATCTAGGTCGCTTAAGCTGATTGCCTTTTAGTGAGATTCTCATTGGAGATGAATCGATCCACAGTTGGCACGTTGGGGTCTGGAAATGGTCCCTAAGTGCACTCAGGGTTTGAGGCCTATTGGAAACCAGAGTCCCAAAAGTACTTGTGGTGTGTGATGTCGTAACTACCACACTTCCTGTGAAATATTAACAGCGAGGAAACGTTTCTTACTTGGCACGCTTCAGGCACTCGTAGCATGATACTTGAGCTAAATGCTGAAGATGAGTTTATGAAATTTTGAAAAATCACAGTTTTGACTAACAATTTGGATTCTGTGAATAATTTTATAACAATTTGGATTCTGTGAATAATTTTATAACAATTTGGATTCTGTGAATAATTTTACAACAATTTGGATTCTGTGAATAATTTTACACCTTTTTTAAAACTAAAATGTATGATGGAGTCCTTTCTCAACCAAAATATTGATATTTTTCAGAAGATGCCAAACAGAGCCAACGTAACTTGGTTGTACTAGTACATAGTTAAACTGCATGTTTAAGCTTCACTCCATACATCTCATCCTTAATTAACTTTCACATGCTTGCATGTCTGACTAACGACAAAAAAATCATTAATGGAATTATCGGGTAAAAAGCACTACTGAGGAATGTTTTTTTTTTTTTTTTTTTTTTTGCTTTACATTTTCAGACATTCTGTGAAGTAAATCTATAAAAGCCACATGCTGTGTAGTGTGTATAAGTAATTAGCCATTTTCAAACCATTTTCCATAAAAAAGGTTTTAATTCTTAGTGATGATAGTAGAAGCAGAACTTCAACCTTCTCATTAGACAAAAATGTGCAGTGGGCGTCGTCCAGGTGACTGAAAAAATCGTCTACAGGGTATTGCAATCAATTCATTACTGCCTGGAGTTTGAAAAACTGACAATTCTAGGTCTAACCATTCCAAATATAACTTTTAATTGGCTGGCTCCAGTGTGCTACAAAAACTAGTTACATTCGAGATATCCTGAGGCGAAGGTGCAAAGCTCTTGATAAGGAAAAGATCAGTCTAACGCACCATAACTGAAATCAGCCAATCCATCAAAAGCTTTGCTCCAAGACTTGTTTCTTATCGGTTGACAAATCCCGCGTGAAGCACATGACAGGGGCAGATTGAGGTCGTCTTCTGGGATTTCTGGGCCATCAGATTTTCAAGTTTTCAATGACTAGCATCTTATTTTTTGGTTCGGAAGATGGTCAAAAATAGAAGGTGGATCAACAAAGATGATTTGGAAGAATGTCAGAAAATACCTCTGAATCCGCCCCTGCATCAATGTGATCATTATGGTGCTGTCATTGGGCACTGGTCATCTTCAATACTGATCTGTAAGCATCAGTGACTGATGCCCTCTGGCGAGTGATTTTGAGAGAGGCTAAAAAATCAAAATCTTATATTCCCTTAGAGATATGAATTTTTTTTTCATGTTGGACACACTCCAGACTGGTGGAGAAGAGGCGAGCTCCAGAACAACAGTTAATTAAGTTTTGTTTGTTTGTTTCAAAATGTCCACATTGATTCAATACAAACAAAAAAGGTTCAAATCCCTCTCCTACTCCCAAAACCTTCATCATAAATATCAGAACGCATCTAAAATGCACTATCAGTATTCAAACGTATATCAAAACCACATAATACATTCACAATCCATTTTATATGTCAAAGTATGTAATAATAATTTGGGAAAACTATTCTGAGACTAATCTTGTAATCAAAATCAGTCTTGACGATCATTAAGGTGGGTGTAGAAAAAGAATATTATGATGACAAGAGACATTTCAACCTGACATGACTTAGGGTGAACACACGCAGAATACTAATGAAAGGAATGTACCATCCTTTAGGTGGTTCAGACAAGGACAGCTTCTGACTGGAAGTGGGGCTTAGTAGGGCTTGTTTCCAATGAAACTATTGTATTACCTAGATTGATCCAACTCTGCAGGGACTCTTGCTGAATGCAATCAGATTAATAAATTAGCATGCGGTGCTGCCTCCTGGTGTTGAGAAGAATGTACAGAAAAGCTGATGATTATACTAATGTGTAGAAAACAGCAGTTTACCTCATATTGCTCAATGTTGTTTTTTATGCAATCTGAGTAAATGACAGCACAACACAGGTGGATTGGACCAGTTTCTAGTCTTTTATTACTACTTAAAAAGTAAATTGATTCTAAAGAGAATAAACAGGACAGGTTTTTACTTACTTGGCTCTATATTTTCACCACTACTCCACATGAGATATTAAAACCCTATTTCACCATAGTCTAGTCTTTCACGATGACAAGTACACATGGAAATTATTTTTTGTAATCTGACAGAAGTTAGACCAATTTTCGTTCCAAATCAGCCATGTCTGAGCAGGCCTTGAGCTATCATCCTCCCCTGTCCTGTGTACATTCTTAATGTATGAAAACACAGCTATCAGCAAGCATTGCCCATCATCCAGTCATAACTATGATATGCCAAATAAATCTTATTGCCCACACCTCCCAAACTTTTCCTCTCTCTGGAATTTTATCTAGCCACTATATTTACATGAATTTTGAAAAATATGTTTGGGGTTTGCCTGTATTTTCTTGTTTCAAACAAATAACCTTCTGGTACTTATATCAAACCAATTGTCCTTGTTAAACTTTTCCCTCATCACCTTCAGAGTGGACATATGCATAAGACATAAATAAACTGAATACACAGATAATTCTTATTAACTGCCCTTCTGTCTTGCTTTATCAGTTACAAATAAAAGTACACCTGTGGGTACATCCTTTTAAAGAGTCACAGGTTGTTGATCATAATTTACTGGCCATGGAGGGTGACACTTAAAAGTGTGTACCATACATGATATATGTCATTACTTTTTGTTTTCCGCAACATGCACTGGTAGTTCTACCCCTATAAAAAAAGTTACTAGTACTTTCATGTTTATCTACTGGTCAAGGGCAGGTGAAAAATGTATATTTATCTTTCTTGTTTTTAAACAGGGTTTCTTTATGTCCAAGGATCCTTGAAGCACTAACATGAGAAATTTATCACATTCAGTGACCTGCTGTAGCAAAGAAAGACCTTGAATATATTATTTTTAAAAATATTTAAAAGATGCTCCACAAAATTTATAAAGATATGGTGAAAATTCAGTACAGTATTTCAGAAACACTAACTAAAAATTGACTAAAACAAACTTTTAATACATTTCATTAAAAAATTGATGATGTCAGACATTTTGAACACTCTTACCGCAGTTACACGAGTACATCTTCCATCCAATACCTCTTTGTGAAAAACAAGATTCTTGAACAGACAATCATTGCATTTAATTATTCTATTCCACCTGAGGGCACAATAATTGTAAGGAAATTAGTAAGTGACATTTTCCTTGACTAATAAATTTAGTCACCTTTACTCATTTCCCTATATAAACATCTGGAAATCAATAATAAACATGGATGACAGGGCTGAGAGAGAACATACACCAAATGTCCAATGGCAGATCATCACACTACTCTTGTGAGCATTTTACAGTGTGCCATATTCTTTCCATTAAAATTTAATTACATCAGCCTTTCCATTCCTCAACCCCCCCCCCCCCCAAAAAAAAAAAAAAAAAAGGCTAGATTTTTTTAGGGGGGGGATAAAAATGCATCCTACACACTCTTTTAAAGATAATTTTAAAAATCTGTACACGATATCAGATGTTATATTCACAAGACCTTTTTCAACACAAACAACACTATCAGTTCTGCTATTATGAGAATGTGACTGCACATCTCAATCTCTAGTACACTAGTTAGTATGTTAAAAGTATCAAGCATCTCTAGGTTAAAGACTAATTATGCAGGTAAATTGCTATGTTTACATTTGCTTAACTTAAATTCTCCATGTATCCTTTTCTGCGCTGAACTTAATCAGAGCAAATCAAGTTAAAAGCGGTTATTGTACATTACACAAAGAGCGTCTGCCACTTATGAATGATAATATGCAGAGGTAGGTCACAGATACTGGTGCGTTTGTTTATTTCCTCACAGTTAATGTAGCTGGGTAAACAAACAAAGAAACAATCAGTTGATTGTGGTAACATGGGGCATTTTCCATGCACTAAGTTTTCTCCATATTTAGACGAAACCACAGCGCACGCTGCAGCAATGCCATTTATATTACATTAACTAATGAATGAGTCACTGCCAACTGCGCCGAGGCAGCTCCTACTACATGTACTAGCACTAGTACACAGGCGAGCCCTCGTACACAAATAGATGCGGTGTGTTCGCTGCAATTTCAGCACTGACACGCGAAAAAACTCTTATTTCAATTAATGCCCTTATAAATATCTCGTTGCTTTAAGTCTGTGTTTAATGAAATGGGTACTTACCACGTGGACTGAAGGTTTTCTGCAGGTGGATACCGTCGCCGATTCATTCACCGGCCATGATGGGTGGCTACCGAACACGCATGCCCAGATTGTGGCTTCCGGATGTCATTTCACCTATGTCGCGCGACGCAAGTGGGAGTGGCGTTTTTCAAGTGATATCACTTGAGAGAGTATGTACAGTTAAACATATTAGACACGATAAAAAGCAGCTCATTAAAAGCATAAACTATCAGTTTATTTGAAAATAGCTCAGATTTTGTGGAGTTTTTAATAATTTTTTTTTTACATTTTGAAAAATAAATTAAAAAAAAAAAGATAACCCTAGGCCTAAATCAAGGTAAGCCTCTAAGGCAGATTCTTTGAAGTCGAAATTAATGCAGTTTTGTTACTCATCAACTATTCGGCTTCATTATGAATGTTTAAGATATATTAGAGGACGATCCGAAATAGAAATCCGAAGGCCTAGGATAGATCTGGGGTACATGTGCGGCAACTGACTTTAATGGCAAGAAATGACTTTTAAAAATCAAACGGTCTTCTCGATATTGGCGTAGACAGAAGTTTTGTGAATGGGAAAGTTTTGAAAGAAAATATCAGAATTGATAACGAAATCCATATTGTGTGTGAGAGAGTGAGATAGAAACAGAAAAGAATGACAAAAAAGGAGGAATGAGAGAGAGAGAGGTGCTTGTGAGGGGTAAAAATGCAGGTTAATCTTATCATTTGGCATAATAACACTCTGTCTTAACGTGCCACCCAAAAGCGACTTGTATAATATAGGCAAATAGGCGAATCCTTCTACTGGGAAAGGAGGGGGCGTGTTTAAATGACTCTCATGAGTCTCCAATCGCGTGGCATATATACTTTTAAAGAAAACAAATTCAGATAAATTGCGGGTGCGTAGATTTCCCCGCTTAAGCCAACAATGAACAAAGATGGCCCAAACTTGCCCAACAGAGGAGTGCCTTCTCTGAAAGTGGCTGGCAAATTGCGACAGATGTGCCGACAGCATTGAGCGTTTATGACAGACAGAGCAGCAACTGCGTTTGGTGAAATAGGGGCATTCACGTGTACAATGCCCATGGGCGTCCGCACAAAATTTTCCAGGGGGGGGGGGGGGGGGTCAAAGTCATTGAAGGGGGAGATAATGATTGGTCCGATACCCGCAATAAAATGCAGTTAAAAAATTCCGGGGAGGGGGGGGAGTCAAGTGACCCCACTGACCCCCCTGCGGACGCCCATGACAGCCATGGCCTTCGGTAAAAATCTGACTTCCTTTAACTGACGTCTTGGCTAGTGGACATTTGACATTATGTCATATGAACAAAACTAAATCACAGCAAGGGGAAATTATTTTGAGAGACTGGCTTTTCAAAACACAAAAGCCATAACAATGACCAATATAAATTTCTCGATTATATGGAGAGTTATTAAAAGTCTAATAGGGGCCTACGCGCAGATAAGAAAAGGAACTGTGCAAAATCTGAAAGAAAATCTCTTCGTGTTGAGCAACAAAAATTAACTGAACAAAATGACTCACATAGTACAGACGGTGAAAGAGGCGGCAGAGACAGTGCGTTGATCTGGCTATTGTGATCGTCTGAAGAGAAATTCAAACGCATGAGCCAAAGCGATTTCTGCAGATATCTGACATCATAAGGCACAAATAAGAACCGTGAGTTACAATGTGATTATTCTTTTATTATGCTTGAAAGTCAAAATATGCATGAATGCCTCTTTTAAATTTCCTTTTTCTGAAATTGACGATTGTTTTTTTTTTCTTTCGTTGATTTAGTTATAAGATTTTAAAATTTTGTCTTCTGAAATTGATCTTAAGAATGATAGAAATCTCTGTCAAAAGCAACTGCAGTTTGTTCTCAATCGGGCTGAAGATAACAAATGGCAATTATACATCGTTTATGAGGCTTGATCGTGTAATTCAGTTGTCATTTAAAAAAATGGTGAAATTAGTGTAGGCCTATGTCTTAATCTGCAGGCCAAGGGTAATCCATAGGCCTAGGGCTATTGCTATTGCAAGTGCACATTGCGCTATGAACGGAATTGAAGAGGTACGTTGGCATCTCCAATGTTTTGAGGAAAGAGTTTTCAATTTTTATCAGGAAAAGAATGTAAATTACAACATAACAAGTGAAAGCGTATTCGTGTGCTTGGCATATAAGGCTGTTATCGTCTGCTTTCTGTCTTCTCTTGGTCAATCCATTGGCCAGCTGCAGCAACAGTAAGGGCTGAAAAAGCTCAAGAAATATAGGTGCGTTTTGTGATTAAAACGCGAAAAGGATCAAGATCTTAATGTGAAGATCGCGTTTTCCTTTTGATAACGTTTTTATAAGAATCTGAACCAATTAAGAGGTTAATGTCTCTACCTTCTCCCAAAATAACCCACATCTTAGAACTGATGGCGCAACCACGACGTTTTCAATGTCAATGTTCATGATCATGATCAATAATCGAAATATTTCTAAAATTTGAGTGCGAGCAAGGGCAATCATCTGCTGTTGGGCAGGTGATTGAGAATACAAGCACTGGTATAAGACTGACCAGTAGCAGGACAATGACTCCAATGATAATAACAATCTTGGTATGTTCTGGTGACACCCGCTGCTTGGAGACAACACCAACGCGCGCCTTAGGCTGCTGCATCAAAAAAGTCAGCATTAAAATCATCCCGCAAACGGCACTGAGTGCGATCACCCACTGATCGCATTTTATGTGATCGTAATCCATGTTTTCCTCGTCGTAACGGATCCCTTTCATGTTCCCAACGATGTTCCAAAAAATCAGCATCACGGTGCTCAGCGTCACAGTAATAATCCAATATTTGTCAATGGTAACGCCGTGCCAATGGGAAAAATAGCCTCTTGATCGACAAGGCGCGGTGTAAAACACGCCCATTGTTACATCCCACCCAAATTCTGCGTTCTCTGGTTGATCGCCTTGAAGCACACGTGACTCTACGTCACGGCGCAGGTGCGTGTACGACGATTGCAATTTGATCAGAGCCGCAGAAATGGCGTACCATGGCGGCAAGAAAATAATTCCGATCCGTAAAATCTCAATAACGTTCCGAATCCAATTCAGAAAGTCGTTGTCTTTGCCATTGATGAAGACATTGGAATATATAAGCACAGTTCCCGATCCAAAGTACATTATATGGATAATAAAGTTATCTATTTCAAGTAAAGAATCGGTTTGTCGCCAAAGAAATTTTTCCTTGATGATTCGAAGTGATTTTACGGGTCCAAATCTTTGCATTTTCTCCCTAAATCGGTCAAGTAGACGGGCGTGGCATTTGATGTATTGGGCAATGACAAGGCTCGCCGTCCCGTATGCTAAAACGGGTAGAAATAAGATAACGTTTATGGGGAAAGTAACGCCGTAACATTCCGCAATAGTTCTCGGAATATGTTCATCCTTTGCTACGTTAAAAAAGAAAAGGTCCACTTTAAACTCCTGGTCAGTTGCACAGTCCAAACTTGTGTCAATGATATCGATGCCAACGAACAAGCAATAGTAGAGAAACAGCTGAAAAACCGGGCGCATCTGAGAACGGCTGGCGATGTTCCTTCGGACGCTGAACAACTTGAATCGCGAAAAATTCCTCAACCAGCGAAGCGCGTGGTAAAACTGGTTGAATATGACAAACTGTACCAGAAGGTAATACAGAAGAAACAGCGTGGTCCCAGAGTTGCAGTATAGCTTCAACTTGTCACCGAGGCGACTGCTTGGTATGAAACCCAGCATACATACGATCAAGATGAAAGCGTAGGAGAAGCAGTAAAGCATCCCTAGCGTACATAGCACTAGCCAAATGTAGTATCTCCAGCGGCCTGGGTAACTTTTGAATCGGTCTTTTTCTTGCGTCAGAAGGGTAAAATCGTCCAGAAGTTCTCGGTCGACCATGATGCTGTTTCTCTGGGCTACCTCCTTGAACGGGTTCGGGAGCCCAAACATGGCCACCAGAGACGCCACATCCGGGACTTCAGGAAGAACATCAGGCTGTTTTTTACTGCGTCTCGTTTTCACGAACTGAAGTCCCACGTCTTGGTTTTGACCGAAGACCAAACTGCCCAGACTGTCTTCGCTAGCCTGTTTATTTGAAGAACTGTCTCTGGAAATGTCGGGTCTTGAAGAGAAATCATCACGAGAAGAAAAACCGTCGACAGAGTAGGAGTCCTTGTGGATCACACTTTGGGCAAGAACGCCGAGTTCATTTTGTTCTAAATCCGTTTCTGTATTTTCCCGCTCTTTGATGGAAGCGTCATTTCTGATGTCCATCAAAAACCGCAAATGCCTAGAAGGGCTAGCTGTTTCCTCTTGAATGTCGGCCATTTCTGATGAAAGATATTTGGTTTGAAAGGTAATTAATTAATCAATAAAATACCGTACATGTACTTCACTATAAGAATGAATGTGGGATAGTGCCCGTCCAGTTAAGCAAAATAAAACATCATCTAATATGTACAGTAATAGTATGTAAAATATACCCATGGACTAAGCGTTAAGAAGAGACTATAACTATTCAATTTTTATTCGTTAACGCTTACTCTGAGTGCATTCTATGCAGGAGCACCCGTAGACTTTTGAAAATTATAACCACAGTTACAAAGATACACAAAATTTACCCCAAAAGGCAATATTCTGCTTCTGATATTTTAACTTTTAGTTACGCTGTTGTGTCCTGCGATTGCGACCCAGTTTCAGTTTTGTTCTCCACAAATAATTTTACATAAAATGGTGAGAGAAAAACATTTTCTTTTCGGGGAAAAAGTTGTACGCCAAGTGCATCCATGCGTACAGTACGCCCGCGGGCGCCCTCACTATTCACGAGATACACGCACAAGTACTGTAATTAATTCAAAAAGGGTGTATAGCTGAAAAACTCACCACTGTTTTCTGGAGAGAGACATCCTCTGCGTCTGTTGCCAAACAATAGGCTTACATGATGTTAAAACGCCCTATCAACTTATCTGATACCAGAACTTTATCTCCCGTAGTGCTATACCAGTGCATTGCACCAACAAAAGAGGAAATCAAATCAGAACCAAGTTAAACCGGTAATCTATGGCCGATGATGGCACATACATGTACAGTAGGAACGTGCCAGGATGGTTCTGGCTGTTTGGGAGTTTCAAAGAATCGCTTTGTTTTGCCGGATAAAGTCCTCTCTTAATCAAAAGTTCGTTCTAGGTTCGATCATGGAAATATATCGTTGACGTCTACGGTGTACTGGTATTATCATAGTTCCATACACTGACTATGCGGCGTAAGTGAAAAGAAATCACTTAGTTTTATCCTGTGAAAATTAAATGTTTTTAACAAAAATATAGAAGCTATAATAAAGATATTTATGCAACAACAAACTACAGACTTGAGATTAATTAATTTTATTAAAGCTTCAAAATACTTCATATATTGCACCCACATATATCAGCATCTTACATACGTTTTGCTCTTAAGGCTACATTTGGCAAAATTAAAATATTATCACTATTTTTGCATCTTCAATTTCTCTTGGCACTACAAGCAGGTTATTTATCAAATTGCTGGAGTTCTTTCCATAGTCCCCAACACGACAATTAAAGGGATAAACACCTTTAATTCAACTGCTTTCTACATGTACCCCGGTACCTTATTTTCAATTACTGTTGGCTTCTTTTCTTGTTAGATGACATTGTACAATTGTGGTGGGTCCTTTTGCATGACTGTGAACGCTACCCTAGGTTCTAGATTACTGTATTGCCAGCTCAATCTTGATTTCATATATAACCCAGCTCAATCTTGATTTCATATATAACCCATATCTGCAATACTGCACTGTAAAGCTATTGCATGAAAAGGTATATAGTGAGCAAGCTAGCTTTATAGTGCCCCGACACTCAGGGCAGCGAATGCTGGCATATCTCCAGTAACACCAATAAGAAAGTGGAGGCTACAGAAATGCGGTACCTTAAAAGATTGTTGAGAGTGTCCTGGATGTAAAGAAAGGCCAATGTAAAAGTGTTACAACTTGAAGGAGTACAATGCTCACTGATAAAACAAATCAGAAAAGGACAAATGAAATCTCTAGGCCATACCATCAGAAAAGACAAAATAAAATAACTTATACTCTGTTGGAAAATTGAAGGAAGACGAAGGAAAAGGAAAACAAAAAACATCATACATTGATAGCCTAATGCCTTTGCAACAAATCAACAACAACTGTCTAACAACAAGCTCATCGAATTGACTGAAATAGAATACATGTACGTAAACTGGAGGACCATGATTGTTGATGCCTGCACCAGGCCTGACACATGAAGAAGAAGAATACCAATGTCACAATTGGCACTTTTGTACCCTCTACCAGGGCGACAGATAGACTGTAGACTACAGACCAAAATGACCGTCTATCTATCTAGACACATATCTGTGAATATCTGTCAAATCTATCTGTCGCCCTGGTAGAGGGTAGCACTTTTGCAACCTTGTAGATATATATGTGGCATAATAGCTCTCTATATAAAAAAGAAATACTGTTTTAAAATGTATAGTACAGTAATGTGTCATGACTTTGTAAATAGATATTAAGGAAAGTTTTTTTCATGTCTTCACATCTGTGAAGTACTAAGAAAGCAAAATTTGCACCATTTCTAGCATTAAATCAAGATACTAGCATAGAGTACATTTGCACATGTAGCTTTGTTGTCTCATTAAGTGGAATGGACCATTTATAATGTTACATGTTACCTCATTTAATAATTGGCATTATATGTCCTATTGCAGGGGTGGATTTAGGCCATCTTCTGGGTCTTCCGGAAGACGATCAGATTTTTAAGTTTACATTGATGGGTATCTAATTTTTTTTGTCGGAAGACGGTCAAAAATTGAGGCTTGATCACTGAAGATAATTTGGAAGCCTGTCAGAAAATAACTCTGGATCTGCCCCTGCTATTGAATGTGTACAACTTAACTGCATTCAATATTAACCAACAATATCTCATTCACCTTATCAAGCACCATTGTTATCAATTGATAATGGACACAATTACATGTACATCTAATACTCAGATTTACACAATTTGATATATTGCACAGTTACAAACTAACTCTCTTGATTGCTGAGTTTATTGTGCAGATTGGGTCACAAAAGTTACTGAAAACCTTAATTAGCTGGTACCATTGTAAAAGAGTTGCCTTTAATAGACCCTTAAACTAAATGGGGTGCAAAATTGAACCGCCTGTACTTGGGGCTGCACTCAGTAGGGTTGGGAGGGTGGGGAGAGAGGGTTTCGGGGGATGATGGTGCAAAATAACTGCCCCTGTGCCAGGCAAATGGCCACTGTGAATTTTAATTTAAAAAGCTTGTTCTAGCAATCTACATAACATAAAATCAAGCAAGACTTAGGGCGCATTCCCATAGATTTTAGATCAATCTATCCCTGTAGGGAGTCTCACTAGATTACTGTCAGATTATCTGGCTTAAATGTCCATCCTGCCTACTACAAGCTGTAAGGGGGTGATTAACTTTCGTGCCCGCTTAGCTGACAGCAATTTAGTGTGAACCCCCAGGGACTTAGGTCAATCTAGTTGGATCGATCTAATCTCTGGGAATGGGGTCTTATTCTGCTCTGATTCAAAAATTAACCCAGGTTTAATTCCATTTTTCAATTTGGGCCAACTAAGGCGTCCACACAGTTTGATGTAAAGATTAATTATAAATGTACTTGTTTGTCATACAATAATATATGTATTGCTGTACTTTGTTAATGGCTATTAGTAGTCCCCTGTACTAAAACTGTAATTTTTTAATGTAATGTAATGGATATACTGTATTTCATGTCTTCTTGCTTTTCTTATTAACCACATGAAAAATTTCACAAACTTATAGCCCAGGTTCTATAAAAAAGGTTAATACTGTAACATAATAAATGAAAAAAAAATATGGAAACTGCATTTATGCGCGGTTGTACGTGACAAGGAACTCTGGGTAGCATAGCTGCTGGTCGTAGATTACAAACTCCCTGAATAGCTTCTGAACATCTCCGCAAATAGAGTCATACTGAGGATGCTTTGTACAAATATCAGCAGTACCACAGGTGGGGTCCATACACGGAGGCTTGGAATACTTCTTAGTGGCGGTGCAGTGGAAAACTTTCCCCAGTAGTACTCGCATTATAATCATCTGTAAATTCTGTGTCTGACGTGCAGTTTTTGGGTCTAAAATGACATCAAAAATTAAGAATTAGTGAGACCTCCAATTTAGATCCCTTCGAAGAAAAAAGGGCAATTGAATATTATTTTCAAATATCATAATACACAGATTCAGTTGAAGTTGTGATATTGTCTTTCTTTGTTGGAACAACTATCCTGAAATTTGAATAAAAAATCTGTTAAGATCTTTTCTCAGCCATTAACAAACATACACACTGACAAACCAATGTCAATGAAAATAATTATGTATATATATATATTTCACTACTTTTTCTTGTGAGAGTTGAAAATATTAATGCCATGCTAATGATTTATTGTATTTTTAAATCTAAGGGAGCATTCACATCGAGAAGAGCCGAGGTCTAATAAGGCCATGACCTAAATATGGCAGACCTACATGAAAGGGAAACAGCTTAATCCAATAATGGTCTCTCTGCTTCTCACACAGCTTCCCACGCATTGTCCCTTGACTGCTTCAATAGAGCCGAGATTTAATTAGTGTGCCTCTGCAGGGATGATGCGCGGGGAGGCGTGTGAGAAGCGGAGAGACCATTAATGGATTAAGCAGTCTTCCTTTCATGTAGGTCTGCCATATTTAGGTCCTGGCCTTACTAGACCTCGACTCTTCTCTATTTGAATGCTCCCTAAGTATCCAACAAAAAAAAAAAATCATCTTGGACTATATTGCTGCATTCAGCACAAGTGAATCTACACACTAACAGATTGGCAGATCAAATATGGCTGCCCCACTTTACAGTATGCTTTCTACTCCCCTATTAGACACTGAATAGATTACCAGTGGGGATTGGGCAATCAGGTTTCAAGTGGTGGTCATATTTGATCCACGGATCTGTTAGTCCATGGATCAACTTGTGTTGTGAATGTGGCCTATAAATACTTTAAAGAATCGTACCTGAATACTGATCAGCCTTGGTGGATTTCTCAGCACAGTAAATTCCTCTGCCAAACATGCCTGTGTCTTGACCCAGTTTCTCAGTGGGGCCTGACATTAACATTCCCTCCACTGCTTCTGCCTTGGTGCCATGGAACAGATAGCATTCATTGATCTCTTCCACTAGATCATAATTCCTTGATAAATTTGGAAGTGTTTGTATGACCCTCTGTGTTTCAACTTGTCTGATTCGCACACTCCTTAATTTGTGAAGAGCTTTGATTTCTCCTCTTACAGCTTCCAAACAAAACTCACGTCTACGTCCTGCGTAGCGATGATACAATTTTGGATTTTCAATCCTCTGTACTTTGGTGATGTGTAGCCGTCTGTGGGTTAATCCATGTGCATCTCGACCTTGTCCTACTTTACTGGAATCAAAGGTCTGGATCATGAGTTGTACTACCTCATTGAAAGTGGCGTCATCATCATGAAGTCTAACAAGTTTATATGGCTTTTGGCTTTTTCCTGTTATCAAACCTTTCACATTAGAGAACATTGTCTTTAAAGGGTTAGTAAAATGGGTCCAGTAATCTGGTTCATTATTGTCCAAGCTTCCTGCTAGAAATTGAACATACTTCACACGGTTTCCACCTCTCTGGAAAGATTTTTTCTCTTCTCTTTGTCTTTGGGAGTCTAGATCACCTACACTTCCAGACAGTAATTTTTTGTTGACAAATTCTAAGATGTCTGATTTTGCCATAGCAACGCTGCTTCGTTCTCCTGTTATTATGACTTCAGGTCGTCTTTTATCTAAAATACAGTAAATGACATATGATTATTTTAACTGACACTTTATTTTTTAAACATAAAATGTATCTTAGTTTGCACAAGCAAGTTTTTAAATATTGTGTACATACAGTAGTTTCAGTTATTACAAAAATATTGTATAAATATTTATTTGTTAAAAGAAAAATGATCAATCCACTTTCTCTTTTCAGAGACACAAATCAAAACACATAAAAAATTTCACATAATGAACAAAATTTCCAAATTTCTTATTCATACCTATTCTTAATTCCACTCCTTTCTTTGCTATTTCACTCTCAAGTTTCCCGAACTCTCTTCCTCCAAATTGTCTCATAAGATGCTTGTCAATTGGGACCACTTGTTTGTCACAATTTTCCTTGAGGGCAGATTCCACACTTCGTCTCACTGCTTGTGCTTTTACTTGAGACTCGGCAAAAATGTGAAAAACAGGATAAGGTTGTCTGATTTCTTTGGGTTCAAACGAAGTGGTTTGATCATGATCTGAAATATTTTTTAAAGCATAAAATTAGACCTTTTTTTAACTAAACTATTTAAATTTTACAAAAATCTATTATAGTGCCTGTAACAAAACAGGCATGAGTAAAATCCCATAAAAGCTCTTTATGTTGCTGACAAGAATTTACTTAGGTAATGTTATCTACTGTAGTCTACACTGCCAAATATATTACAATAGTTCATTGAACTTTACATTCAATAATACACTCAGTTTTGTAATGTCATATAATGTCATACAACACTGTAAATATCTCATTTTGATTGTGTTTTAAAGTGGCGTGATCTGAATTGAGTGGTGTTTAGTTCACATTCACAACAGCAGACCCACGGATCAAATATGATGACCCATGTAACTGACAAGTAGCTATTTTTAGTAGTGTCTTGACCTTAATTGTAGTATCGGTGTTGATAGTATTTAGTTTTTGCGGGCACGTGTTTGTTAGACAAGTCAGATNGTATGGTAATGGATGTTAAATTTTGGATTGGTGTTATAGTTTTAATATTAAATGATAGTTTAAGTAAATTGTGGGATTCACAATTTAAGGGAGCCATGTAACTGACAAGTAGCTATTTTTAGTAGTGTCTTGACCTTAATTGTAGTATCGGTGTTGATAGTATTTAGTTTTTGCCGGCACGTGTTTGTTAGACAAGTCAGATTCTCGCAACGAGTTTCACGTTGATTCAGATGAAAGTTGTTACCAGTTGTTTCCAGTTGAAAGTAGATGAAAGTTGATGTAAGTTGACATAAGTTGATGTTAGACAATAAACAGTACCATTTGTTACCAGTTGATGTTATATATCGTTGACAATTGAATAAAATTGGACTGACACCCGCAACAACCCACTTAAAAAGCTTGCTGCATAATCCCCTCATAGACACTAAATGGATTTCCTGCAGGGATTATGTGACAAGCTTTCAAGTGGGTCGGCCATATTTGATCTGGGGATCTGTAAGTCTGCTGTTGTGAGTGCAGCCTTAAATTGATCTTTGCAACAATTCTCATTTTTAAAAATTAAAATGCCAGGCCCGTAGCCAGGGGGAGTTCAGGGGGTTCGAATGAACTGCCCTTTTTGCTGAGAATAGGTCCACTCTGGGTAAAATTTAATCTAGGTACATGAAGTTTTTTATAGAAAAAGGTCCCCATTTTCAGAAAAAGTACCCCCCTTTTGAAATTGCTGGCTACGGGCCTGAATGCCCTGATTGCCTGATGCCCTGATGTCTTGTCTACTTCCCTACTAAAACTTTCTACAGAAATCCAGGGCTACCGGAGGAGGAATCGTACCAGAGGAATCATACAATCACCTGTACTCTCATCATTTTATAATGAAGACTACACACATACAGCTTACCTTGAGAATGTTGTCTACTGTGGCGCCCTCTAGGAGATCTTCCTCCTGACTTGGATGCTAGCTCATCTTGGAAGTCTTGGAAGGTGTTGGCATCATATACCATTAGGTTGACATACTGAAAGAGACAGCAAAGCAATAAATAACAATTGTTTATTATATAATTTTATATAACATAGATGGGCAACAGTGCCAGTGTGCCCACAAGTAATTTGTAGCAACAGAAAATGTGTTAGACTTACATTTAACCTGTATCTATGACAAAAAAAAAATGAACAACATCTACAATTTGAGATGCCAACAACATTAAATTATCAAACAAATTACAGACAGTACCTGAATGAAGCTACAGGACTTAAATTTAACCCTTAGACTTATCTACAAAAATAAATAAATAAGTAAATAACACCTAGACTGCATTCCCACAGATTTAGATCGATCCATCTGGATTGACCTAACTCCCTAGGGGGTTCATGCTAAACTGCTGTCTGCCGAGCGCCCACTATAGTGAATTACCCCCTTACAGCTTTCAGTTCGCAGGACAGACATTTAAGCTGGTTAAGCTGACCCCAATCTAGTGAGACTCCCCAGGGGGATAGATTGATCTAAAATCTGTGGGAATGGCCTCCTACACTGACAATTTGACATGCAAACAAAATATGCACCAATCAATCAATCAATCAAACTCAGCACCTTCAGACTTGTTCTTCCTTTGGAAAGTTTTTGGCACTCCTCCAGAATAGTTTGAGCCACCAGCGGCGGGCTGTACTTGAGGTTACCGCAGCCAATGGAGGGAAACGCTATGGAAGTCAGGTCGTCCTTTGATGCCATTTGGAGACATTCAGAGATAACTCTGCTTAGGATCTGCAATTAATGAAAAAGAGCTCTGATTGTACAGAAAGATAGTGTGTGTGTGTGTGTGTGCGTGTGAGAGAGAGAGAGATAGAGAGAGAGGGGGGAAGAGAGAGAGAGAGAGCAAATAAACTGTATAACAAATCAGTCTGAGAGTGATATGCATCATGCTGCATCAACCAAGAAACAACCTCCAATGTTGTACCAAATGCACATTTAAAAAATTTCAACAGCATTAATGCTTTCACATATCCTTGTAGCATAAATATACTCACTTTTTCTCCCTTCCCACGGGAATAAGTTGGAAGGACCACGTGATAGACTACCTCACAATTTTCAGACAAACTCCCATATTTCCTCGTCACTACCACCTCACCAAAACTGGCACTCACTGTACTAAGTTCCTGAAATGTACAATTAAATAAAGCTACCAGTATGTCTAAAGTCTACTGTTTGATTGTCCAAAACAGCTCTAAATCTACATACATGTAGATAACTGACATACCTGAAAAAATTTTATGGCTCATTTCATAAAAATGTCCAGAATGTGTTTACACAATGACCAAAATGAGAAAAAATAAACACTGATAATAAAACTTAAACATTCAAATGCTTATTTTCAAATAGTACACAGTTAATGAAATAATATTCTATAACCTACAGACTTTGCCTTCAGACAAACATATTTCAAAAAGTAGTTATCACATGCAACATATAAATGGAAACTCTTAAGCTGTGTTCAGAATAGGAGTTATTGTACAAGCACAATCGATCTATCTCAGCTAGCATTCTCAGTGATGTGCAGTCAGTGTAATCAGCTTTATGACCCAACAGTAACTTTAAGTACTGGAAAACTTTGTGGTCCATGACGTTGTTCATGCTGCTTTGAGAAGGGACATACTAAGTTTATGAATTTATACTCTATAACAATCAGACTTTGCATTCAGACAAACATGTTTAAAAATGAGTTTTCAAATGTATGGGTGTATTACAGACATGAGCCTATGTTTCCAAAAAAAAACCTCGAACATTTATCATATTACCAAACACCTTACCGTCCAATGGTCTGGAGGGAGGGGGGGGGTCGCCTTAGGAATTGAATTAAAAAATGTGGAATTGCTGCGGAAAAAGCTCATGTATGGGTGTATTAGATAATTATAAATGACAACTCTTACATCTTGCAGTTCTTGTCCTCCCACTCTGAGGAACTGTCTGGCTATCTGACCATGCTCTAAGTTCAGGTCCTTTCCAACTACATTCACCAACACAGATGACTGAAATATTATTATTATTATTTTTCATAAGTGAAAGTTGTAAAACCTGAAAATCCAGAAAATGTAGCTTGCAATTTGTTATTGCAAAAAAAGAAAAAAATTATAACAATCTTGAAATATGGCATATAATTTTAATATCATTTATAACAAACTCATTTCAAACTGAAGTATTGGTATCATTACTTTTAATTATTATATATTTTAATATCTTAAAATCACTTCACACCAAAATCACAAAAAAAGACCAAAATACATGTACCATTACGAAAGCTATCATTGTATTTACTTAATTATTTCTGATTTATACAATGTTAATAAAAATAATATACAGAAGCTTTACACATTGTTAATAAAAATAAACAATAAAAATAATGAAACTTGACCCAACTCACTCTCTTCTCTTTAGTTATATCCCCTTGCTGTAAAGTCACTGTAATTCCACCTGTTTTCCACATGGTGTCACTTGCATTGTCTCTCCCTCTATCTCTGCTGCCCCGATTTCTGCTGCGGGGTCTGTCCTCATCTTCATCACTACTGTAGGCTGCTGCAGCACCTCTTGGAGAAGAGTGAGTCGAGTTTCTGAAATAAATCAAGAATCTTTATAATATCCCATTTTGTGCAGAGGGTGGTGTAAAGGTTTAATAAATCAGTCTGACATTATTCATCATTTTTGGCCAGTGGCAAATTTTGTTATCCCCTTTAAGTTTTTTTGTAAGAAATGAAAAAATGATTACTTTTTTATAATATAAACTCCAGAGATCACTAGCAGGATATTCGAGTCTTAGAATTACAGTAAACCACAAATGCATATATTTCAAAATGTCTACATCAATTTTAACACTAATCCATCTTGTTCCAATATGAATATGCATTTGGTTTTTATTTAAACTAAGAAAAGACATTGATTTGGCAAATTCTTAAGTGTAAATTTGATTCTGAGGCAATAAATTGGCAGGTGTCAATTCAGCAGGAGTACCTGGGAGTAATAGGGGGGCGTTGTCTAGCCTCTACTTCAATCACACACTGGTGCTGGCTCTCCAGAGACTTCAGCAGACTTTGGCCTAGTTGCTGTCTTGTCAGGAAATGAAACATGCCTGGAAACAAACAATGGTATTCAGTGATAAACAGAAGGCTGAAGCAATGAAGAAGTGCAGAAAGATAAAGCAAACTTATGGCTATGCTGTAACACGGGTCATACTGAAAATTTGTCATCTTCTTTCAGGGACAGATTCTTGATTTTTAGTAAAGGAAAGGGGTGTGTGAATCCCAGTACGCCATCCCTGCCAATTGTGCCATTTGCCTTGGGTTTCACATATAAATATATATATCTTGTTTAAATACAACTCTACTCTATCCCCCAACCCTACCCTCCAGCTGCAATCCTACGTACATAATCACATCAAACACAGTCACACCTAGCACAGTCACATGTAACACAATAACATCTAACACAATCACATATAACACAATAACATCTAACACGGTCACATCTAACACAAGCACATCTCAAACAATCACAATCCCCCACACAGTCACTTCTACCACATTACGTTGCCATGGTTACATACCTGGCGTGGACCCTTGGAAGGTCACATGACCAATCTCTTTGAGCAGTTTGTTCACTTCATCTTTAAATTGTTCCACATCTTCCCTTACTCCGCTGACTGTCAGGTGATTGTCTTTGAAATTAAAGCTTATCCCCATCTTGGTCTTGGGTTGCCTGAAAAGATCATCATTTATTATGCATGTAACTAAATGAGGTTAAGGTAGTAAAAGTGCACTCAGAGCAGCAGACTAACAGTTGACATACTAGAAGAGAAATGTCATGACATTGTCTAATTTTAAAAAGAATACTTGGGTGTTTGGCAAAATAAAGAAACATACTGGTATAGTACTAGAAAACCATTGTAATAAATTGTTTCAATACTGGTATAATATCTTAATTAAAGTAATGCATGTTTAGACTCAAGCAATCCAAATCACTTTCTACTAAAAATGAAATAATCTTTTGACACTTATAATGTTGACAAAAACTAGTTACATAATCACCAAACAACTATTGACTGAACTTAACTTTAATAAACTGATAAAAACTAAAGTGTTATCAGACTGACCTTGACCTTGACCTCTGTCAAGGTCACTGCACAGGTGATTAACACCATGCACTTACCTCACAGCGCCTTTTATTCTAGCTTCACAGTGAGTCTTTAAATAAGAAAGCTTTCCTCTTTTGTCCACTGGTATTGTTGATGAAACAATGGTGTTTTCCTGAGAATGAAAAGTGCGTACAATAGTGCAACAAATAGCAATCCCACTTTTTGTTAACTTTAAATACATTTACATGTACCAGTGCCAGTATATTAACATTTCATACAGTAGCAAGGGCCAGCTGCAGTCTTTTACAATTACAGTGAAATATCATATTAATAATCTAAATGCCATTTGCTTTGGTATGAGACTCTGTAACAGAAAATTAAAATTATAGAAAAATTTATTTCAAGCAAAGTGTTCTGACAAATAAGTAGTAAAGCAACCTCCAAATAATTAAAATTGCATTCTATAATACAGACAATCACATTCATTGTTGTCAAAAAAAAAAAAAAAAAACCTTAACAGTCTGAGGTNGGGGGTTCTTTCGAACCCCCCGAACCCCCCCTGGCTACGGGCCTATAATGTAATCTAGTCTACACTGCCACCAAATATTACAATAGTTCATTGAACTTGGCATTCAGTATTACACTCAGTTTCCCAATGTCATATAATGTCATACAATATTGTAACAATGTCTCATTTTGATTGTGTATTAAAGTGGCGTGATCTGTATTGAGTGGTGTTTAGGTCACATTCACAACAGCAGACCAACAGATTCACGGACCAAATATGGCCTTCCACTTAAAATCTTGCTGCATACGGTAATCCCCTAATAGACACTAAATAGATTTCCTGCAGGGATTATGTGACAAGCATTCAAGTGGGTCGGTCATATTTGATCTGGGGATCTGTAAGTCTGCTGTTGTGAGTGCAGCCTTAGATTGATCTTTGCAACAATTCTCATTTTTAAAAATTAAAATGCCAGGCCCATAGCCAGGGGGAGTTCGGGGGGTTCGAATGAACTGCCCTTTTTGCTGAGAAAAGGTCCACTCTGGGTAAAATTTAATCTAGGTACATGAAGTTTTTTATAGAAAAAGGTCCCCATTTTCAGAAAAAGAACCCCCCTTTTGAAATTGCTGGCTACGGGCCTGAATGCCCTGATTACCTGATGCCCTGATGTCTTGTCTACTTCCCTACTAAAACTTTCTACAGAAATCCAGGGCTACTGGAGGAGGAATCGTACCAGAGGAATCATACAATCACCTATACTCTCATCATTTTATAATGAAGACTACAGACATACAGCTTACCTTGAGAATGTTGTCTACTGTGGCGCCCTCTAGGAGAACTTCCTCCTGACTTGGATGCTAGCTCATCTTGGAAGTCTTGGAAGGTGTTGGCATCATATACCATAAGGTTGACATACTGAAAGAGACAGCAAAACAATAAATAACAATTGTTTATTATATAATTTTATATAACATAGATGGGCAACAGTGCCAGTGTGCCCACAAGTAATTTGTAGCAACAGAAAATGTGTTAGACTTACATTTAACCTGTATCTATGACAAAAAAAATGAACAACATCTACAATTTGAGATGCCAACAACATTAAATTATCAAACAAATTACAGACAGTACCTGGATGAAGCTACAGGACTTAAATTTAACCCTTAGACTTATCTACAAAAATAAATAAATAAGTAAATAACACCTAGACTGCATTCCCACAGATTTAGATCGATCCATCTGGATTGAACTAACTCCCTAGGGGGTTCATGCTTAACTGCTGTCTGCCGAGTGCCCACTATAGTGAATTACCCCCTTACAGCTTTCAGTTCGCAAGACAGACATTTAAGCCAGTTAAGCTGACCCCAATCTAGTGAGACTCCCCAGGGGGATAGATCGATCTAAAATCTGTGGGAATGGCTTCCTACACTGACAATTTGACATGCAAACAAAATGTGCACCAATCAATCAATCAATCAATCAATCAATCAAACTCAGCACCTTCAGACTTGTTCTTCCTTTGGAAAGTTTTTGGCACTCCTCCAGAATAGTTTGAGCCACCAGCGGCGGGCTATACTTGAGGTTACCGCAGCCAATGGAGGGAAACGCTATGGAAGTGAGGTCATCCTTTGATGCCATTTGGAGACATTCAGAGATAACTCTGCTTAGGATCTGCAATTAATGAAAAAGAGCTCTGATTGTACAGAAAGATAGTGTGTGTGTGTGTGTGTGTGTGTGTGTGTGTGTGCGTGTGTGAGAGAGAGAGATAGAGAGAGAGGGGAAGAGAGAGAGAGAGAGCAAATAAACTGTATAACAAATCAGTCTGAGAGTGATATGCATCATGCTTCATCAATCAAGAAACAACCTCCAATGCTGTACCAAATGCATATTTAAAAAATTACAACATTAATGCTTTCACATATCCTTTTAGCATAAATATACTCACTTTTTCTCCCTTCCCACGGGAATAAGTTGGAAGAACCACATGATAGACTACCTCGCAATTTTCAGACAAACTCCCATATTTCCTCGTCACCACCACCTCACCAAAACTGGCTGTCACTGTACTAAGTTCCTGAAATATACAATTAATTAAAGCTACCAGTATGTCTAAAGTCTACTGTTTGATTGTCCAAAACAGCTCTAAGTCTACATACATGTAGATAACTGACATACCTGAAAAAATTTTATGGCTCATTTCATAATAATGTCCAGAATGTGTTTACACAATGACCAAAATGAGAAAAAATAAACACTGATAATAAAACTTACACATTCAAATGCTTATTACCAAATATTGAGCAATCTTTCAGAAACAGTACTCAGTTTATGAAATAATATTCTATAACCTACAGACTTTGCCTTCAGACAAACTTGTTTCAAAAGGTAGTTTTCACATGCAACAGATAAATGGCAACTCTTAAGCTGTGTTCAGAATAGAAGTATTGTACTAGCAGGATCGACCTATCTCAGCGGGGAATCTTGCTAGGGCACAGTCAATGTAATCAGCTTAATTGTCTGGCATGCCACATCATAATTTAAAGTAGTTGGGTATAGTCAGGAAAACTTTGTGGTCCTTGCCATTGTTCATGTTGCTTTGAGAATGGGAGAACTTAAGTTACGAATTGATATTCTAGAACAATCAGACTTTGCAATCTGAAAAACATGTTTAAAAATGAGTTTTCAAATGTATGGGTGTATTACAGACATGAGCCTAGGTTTCCAAAAAAAAAAAAAAAAAAAAAACTCGAACATTTATCATATTACCAAACACTTTACCGTCCAATGGTCTGGAGGGGGGGTCGCCTTAGGAATTGAATTAAAAAAAGTGGAATTGCTGCAGAAAGCTCATGTACGGGTGTATTAGATATCTATTAATGACAACTCTTACGTCTTGCAGTTCTTGTCCCCCAACTCTGAGAAACTGCCTGGCTATCTGACCATGCTCCAAGTTCAGGTCCTTTCCAACTACATTCACCAAAACAGATGACTGAAATATTATTATTATTATTATTATTATTATTATTGGTGAAAGTTGAAAAAACTGAATATCCTGAAAATGTAGCTTGCACTTTCTTGTTTAAATCATATGAAAAAAATGATCAAAATAAAGACTGAAAATCCTGAAATCAGGCATAAAACTTTCATTCATGCATTATCATTAATTTATTACTTTAGACTGAAGTCCTGGTATAATTCCTTTTAATGATAACATATTCTAATTTTTAAAAATCACAAAGTAACATCAAAATCACAATGAAAGGTAAAAAAAACATGTACCATTACAAAAACTATTATTGCATTTGCTTACTTATTTCTAACTGATACAATGTATAGAAAATAAACTATATAGAAACTCTGAAGATTGGCCCAACTCACTCTCCTCTCCTTAGTTATATCCCCTTTCAGTAAAGTTACAGTGATTCCGCCTGTTTTCCACATGGTGTCACTTGCGTTGCCTCTCCCTCCATCTCTGCTGCGGGGTCTGTCCTCATCTTCATCACTACTGTGTGCTGCAACAGCACCTCTTGGAGAAGAGGGAGTCGAGTTTCTGAAATAAATCAAGAATCTTTATAATATCCCATTTTAATAGTTTAATAGTTTAATAAATCAATCTGAGATTAATCATCATTTCTAGCCAGTGCCTCATTTTGTTATCCCATTAAAGTTAATAATTGGTTTGTAACAAATGAAAACAAAGCAGTTACTTTTTTTATGAAAAACTCCAGAGATCACTAGCAGGATAGTTTTAGTTTTAGATAGTTAAGTTTTAGAATTATAGTAAATCACAAATGCATATATTTCCAAATGTCTACATCAATTTTAACATAACACTAATCCATCTTGTTCCAATATGAATATACATTTTGTTTTTATTCAAACTAAGAAAAGACATTGATTTGGCAAATTCTTAAGTGTTAATTAGATTCTGCATTAAATTAGCAGTTGTCCATTTGGCAGGTGTCATTTCAGCAGGTGTACCTGGGAGTAATAGGGGGGCGTTGTCTAGCCTCTAATTCAATCACACACTGGTGCTGACTCTCCAGAGACTTCAGCAGACTTTGGCCTAGCTGCTGTCTTGTCAAAAAGTGAATCATGCCTGGAAACAAACCAATGGTATTCAGTGATAAACAGAAGGCTGAAGCAATGAAGAAGTGCAGAAAGATAAAGCAAACTTATGGCGTCATACTGAAAATTTGTCATCTCCTTTCAGGGACAGATTCTTGATTTCTAGTAAGGGAAAGGGGAAAGTGAATCACAGTGAGCCATCCCTGCCAATTGTGTCCTTCACCTTGGATTTCACACATATATATATCTTGTTTTAATACAACTCTACTCCATCCCCCATCCCTACCCTCCACCTGCAATCACATCTAGCACAATCAAACCTAACACAATTACATCTAACACAAACACATCTTACACAGTCACATCTAACACAGTGACACCTAGCACAATCACATCTAACGCAATCACACCTAGCACAATCACATCTAACACAATCACACCTAGCACAGTCTTATCTAACATGATCACATCTAACACAGTCACACCTAACATAATCACACCTAGCACAGTCACATCTAACACAATCACACCTAGCACAATCACATTTAACACATCACACCTAGCACAATCACACCTATCACAGTCACATCTAACACAATCACATCTTACATAGTCACATCTAACACAGTCACATCTAGCACAATCACACCTAACACAATCACACCTAGCACAATCACACCTAACACAATCACATCTATCACCATCACACCTAGCACAATCACACCTAGCACAGTCACATCTAACACAGTCACATCTAACACAATAACATCTAACACAATCACACCTAGCACAATCACATCTAACACAATCACACCTAGCACAATCACATCCGATACAATCACAACCACCACACAGTCACACCTACAACATTACCTTGCCATGCTGACATACCTGGTGTGGACCCTTGGAAGGTCACATGACCAATCTCTTTGAGCAGTTTGTTCACTTCATCTTTAAATTGTTCCACATCTTCCCTTACTCCGCTGACTGTCAGGTGATTGTCTTTGAAATTAAAGCTAATCCCCATCTTTGTCTTGGGTTGCCTGAAAAGATCATCATTTATTATGCATGTAACTAAATGAGGTTAAGGTAGTAAAAGTGCGTTCAGAGCAGCAGACTAACAGTTGACATACTAGAAGAGAATGAAAATTTATGTCATGACATTTTCTAATTTTAAAAAGAATCCTTGGGTGTTTGGCAAAATTAAGAAACATACTGGTTTAATACTAGAAAACCATTTCAATAAATTGTTTCAATACTGGTATAATATCTAAATTAAAGTAATATTTAGACTCAAGCAATCCAAATCACTTTCTACTAAAAATGAAATACTTTTTTGACACTTATAATGTTGACAAAAACTAGTTACATAATCACCAAACAACTATTGACTGAACTTAAATTTAATAAACTGATAAAAACAAAAGTGTTATCAGAGTGACCTTGACTTTGACTTCTGTCAAGGTCACAGGTGATTAACACCATGCACTTACCTCACAGCGCCTTTTATTCTAGCTTCACAGTGAGTCTTTAAATAAGAAAGCTTTCCTTTTTTGTCCACTGGTATTGTTGATGAAACAATGGTGTTTTCCTGAGAATGAAAAGTACATACAATAGTGCAACAAATAGCAATCCCACTATTTGTTAACTTTAAATACATTTACATGTACCAGTGCCAGTATATTAACATTTCATACAGTAGCAAGGGCCAGCTGCAGTCTTTTACAATTACAGTGAAATATCATATTAATAATCTAAATGCCATTTGCTTTGGTATGAGACTTAGCTCTGTAACAGAAAATTAAAATTATAGAAAAATTTATAAGCAAAGTGTTCTGACAAATAAGTAGTAAAGCAACCTCCAAATAATTAAAATTGCATTCTATAATACAGACAATCACATTCATTGTTGTCAAAAAAAAAAAAAAAACCTTAACAGTCTGAGATGTTTATTTTACCTGAAAATATTTCTGAATTAGAGAAAGACCAGTGGTCACATCTTGCTTTATTCCTTCTATCACTACCTCAGTGTTGCCACATTCAATAACTGCATTTCTTGTCTGGTTAAACTTCTGCACCATATCTTTTAATGTTTTCATTTCCAAAAGGGGCTGGCTTTCCTTTTGTACTACATGTTTCTTACTCTCAGTCAAGGCTATGATCATTTTGATCGTCTTATCAGCTACAGTTGCCTCTGGAAATATACATTTTGAAAAATACTAGTTGCACTGCTATATTTGTATTACATTCAAGAGAAATAAATTTTCAATATTATTTCTGTTTCATTCATCCTTGCTGAAATGGGCTGGCTAAACTTCTCTACTTGGAAATTAAGTACATCTATCTGAACGTCTTTCCTTTGTCAGTGTGTAAAATTTAAGTAATGCCTCAAAGTACAGTACATTTAAGTACATTATTAGAGGAAAATGGTAGATAATATTACCAAGATTAATCTAATTTTAAAAATAATAATATCTTGACATTTAAAAAATTTAAAAAAAAAACGGAAAAAGGAGAATTCAAATTAAATCATAAATTGCACAAATATGAAAAGATGCTTCTAAAAAAAATTCATAATATAAAAAACTTAAGGTGCTTTTATCTCACCAAATGCTGTCACAGTTAATCCATCCAGCCCCAATGTCCACTCGACCTTGAGCTGTTTTTTAGACACCTCTCTGTTGATAAGGTCCCTCACTGCAGCATTCTTGAATACATTTTGTAAACGCTGTGACAATCCCCATGTTTTCTCAACCATTTCATCCATCTTTTCATATACCTGCAACAAAACAGCAACAATGTTTTATAACTCATTTGTCTACAATACTCCCCATTAATTATAACTGATGACTGATAAGACAGGCCCAAATACTGAGGTCCAACTCAAAAATGGGCTTATGGATTGTATCAGTTTTGAATATTACAGGTTAATCCTGGTGATTAAAGCTAGGGTAAATTCCGAAAATTTCAAGAAAATTTATAAATTGTATTTTTGTGACATAAAAGTCTAACACTCAATCACTGACTGCCTTTAGAAATTACAAGAAAATGTGATTAACTACCTCTATCTGGGATTTCATCACTTGGTCCCTAGTCCCTCGTATCTCTACATTTGTATCTTTAATTGTCACATGCTGTAAGTTTTCTCTCTTTAACAACAAAGCTTTTGCTTTTGTTTGACATGTAACAGTTGCCATCTCCAAATTGTCCTGTCTTGAATGATCAGTTGGTGACACCTGTTGGCCATTCTGAATGTTAGAATGGCGTGTATGGCTCATTTTTGCATCCACTGGTAAAGAGGGCAGGCTGCGGCCTTCCATTGCTGAGAACCTGGGCTGCTGGGATGTTCTAGCTGGGCTCAGCTTTTGACCAGGTGACCCAGGTCTGTTTTGGTCATTGAGGATAAATTTCTCATTGAAACGACTTTCTAATTGTGAGTCATGGATACTGCAGTATATGCCACTGGTCAAAGTCTCATGTGGTTCCTCGGCAGCTGGAGGCCGAGTTTGAGCTGGCGGTGCTGCTGCAGCAGGGTTTCTGTTGGACACAGGTTTCACTAATACGTAACCATCATCTAATCCTAAAGCATGTGGCACTGGTTCTAGATATGTTTGAAAGTCTACAGGATCTGGATCACCAATCAATGCTCTTGTTGTATTGGCATTGTCATACGCTGATTGTGGAGAAGACTTCACTGGTAAAACTGTGGCCATGGGTTTCATTTCACTCATAAGAGGATTGAAGGTCACATGGTCATCCTTGTCTTGGTCTTTAAAAGTGGTTGCTTTTGATTGTGTTGGTTGAGACCGGGTGAGATGTGTTGGGTAAACAGGAGACGTTTTATTTGTTGGAGGTAATAAAGTTACATAAGCATTGGATGTTTGTTCTTCCTCAATGACAGCTTCTGGACTCTTCTTTTCAGTGGAAACAGTCTCATGGCTTGGAGAATGGACCCTCAGAGATGCATCATTGTTGCTGAAAATTTATATTGACAGGCACTTTGGATTCTCATATAAAAAGTTATGCATGTACCCTTCATTTGCTCATTTAGAATACTAAAAACCATCCATGCATGTCAAGAAGAAAACAACTTGCAATGATAAATTAGACTATGTAAGTGTAAAGAAAAAGTCGAATGATCTGTTCTGATAAATGACATGCATGCATGTATGTATAAAATTGCTGAAAGACCAGTTAAGTGAGTTAAGATACATATATCTGTTACAACAAATAACATCTAAATTACATGAACCTTAATGTAACACGAACAAAGGTACACACACGCACGCACGCATGCACACACGCACATGCGCATACACTACGTGATACATTGATTAGTTATTTTCTGTGTCACCGTTTCTGTGGCCACCTTCACAAACAAAGCTGTTCTGCAGACTAAAAGATCTGCTGATCAAATATGGCTGATCCACTTGAAAGCACACTGCGTAATCCCTGCTTGATCTACTCAGTGTTTATTGGGGAATTACGCAGCAAGCTTTCAAGTGGGTTGGCCATATTTGATCCTTGAATCTGTTAGCTCACAGACCAAATTGTTCTGAATGTGCCCTATCTCATTACTTCAGTGGTCTTTCCCTTAGATGAATGGGATCAGATGTTGGGGGAAGGGCCCTATTGATAAATTACAATACAATCCATACAATGCATTTGTACAATACAATACAATACACAACAACACAAACACAGACATACCTTGCTATGAGTTCCGTGTCCTGTGTTTCTAGCTTAAAACTTCCCAGACTAACTGGAATGTGACCTTCAATAGATCCAAAATAACAAGAAACGTTACACAAAGATTTTAATAAATCAAATTTTATACTCAGATATTCAAATATCATTGTTAGGTTACAAAATTGTTTTAACACATTTTAAAAAATATGTGTTAAAATGGACCCAATCCTGGTAAAGCATTCAATTCCCTTACAAAGTACATTCGCTGCCTTTAACTTTTTTCTAAACTTTTTTTTCACTCCAGGTACTGTAAGTTTATTGTTCAACACAACACCCAATAGCTTGTAATTGGCATGATTTCACTAGAGAAGACCAGTATTTAGACTTGTAATTGTCATGAATTATACAAACCCTATATCAAAATGTCTGACATTTCTCTATTTGAGATTCTATAATCCCTGCAATGTAATTTCACTTCAAACAAAAAAAAATTTTTTAATACTTTTGGTACAAAATTTTACCTGGTGGTTCAATGTTCCCGTCTACATTGTTCAACTCCTCACCACCAGATGTCTCTAGGTGTGCAGGAAGTCCCAGACACCTGTTGTGGGCCACAACATTGACTGGCACTTTCAGCAATACATGTTTCCTGGCTGTTACAGTTTCCACAACTGAAAATGAAAACATTAATCATCATAGAAGCGCTCAGTCACTAAGCTGCCAAATCATGCAATAGTCACGCAGATACAGATTTTATTACAACGACTTCTGTAAGTTTACTGGCGTTTTTTTGTTTTTGTTTTTGTTTTTTGTTTTTTTGTTTCACATCAGGAGTTACATTTAATTAGTCTGGTGCACTTTGTAGTGACAGCACAGTCAATAAATTAACTTTACCACTGCTGGCACTTCAAACAATAGGATAACTGCACTTGTATTTTGTTTTGGCTTGCTTTGCTGTGTTTATCCTATTGTGCAAAGCGCCTCGATGTAAATACCCATACTCAATATTATTATGCTCTCGTATGTCTCATACAGTGAACACCTCTTATTGTAATTAGTACTTCTAAATTTAACAGTAGGAGGCAAACTTCTAAAAATCTTGTGAAAGAAGGAAAAAAACTGTTATTGGACCTGTACAACTGCAGTGGTTCACTACAAAGAGCTGCTCAATTGATGTGAAAAGGTCTGAGAGTACCGGTACATACACAATTATAAGTTTAAGGAGATGTATTAGTGCAATCAATCCCTCCATTGTATATACGTGTAACAATTCAACTTGCCTTTTGGGTCTTCAAACGTAAGCACTGCATATCCACGATCCAAATTACACAGAGTCAAAGATTCCTCTATCTCCCCACCACCGACTTTCTCCTGTGCAAAATAAAGCTCCACATGGTCTTCAGTGACACCTTTTGGTATGTTTGTAATAAGAATGGAGTCTATAGGTGGCGCCTCTGTGATAGACAAGACATTCCCCTCCAGTGGTTTGGCATCCTTAACTAGGTTTTCAATATCTGGAAAAATTCAATGTATTATATTTAAAGTTAAAAGGACAGAAGGAAAACTAAAAGTAATAGAAGGAAATTATTATATTTTACGAAGTCTTATGTCACTTTTCTTAAAATGCCCATTTATACAACATATTCACTTTCATGCATATCACGTGGCATAATATATTAACAGTCTTGTACTGCATAATGCCTACTTAATGGATATCCATCATAAAACTGAGTTTGTTTTTATGCACTTAAGTCATCTACTCTGCCTTACAGGTTTCCCATTGTATTCAACTGGTTAAAAAATTCAACACATTAAAGTCATAATAACTCTTCATTTTGGCCAAAAATTGGATTTTCCTGGAGTAAACGGCAATTTTCCCGTACTTACCAATGGTCAGCGACCCAATTCCTGCATTCAAAGTTAATCCAGGTTTTTTTTGCCAAACGTACGGTTTTTTGTTAAAATCTCTTAAGAGATTTTAACTGACGGAGCTCTCTCTGACATCGCATAGTCACTGTTGACCTACTTAAAACCGCGGGAAAAGCAGACAACAACAACACTATATAAGATTCATGAGATATATTCGTCTTTTTGTTAAAAATACATTAATATCCACAATGTGTGCCATTCTGGGCTTTTCGTTATCCGACGCACTGTACAAAAACTCGCAACTTACATCTGCGTCTGCATTAATGCGTTTGGCACCATATGTTATTTTGGTCTCGAATGAACGCGAGAATCCGCATGACACCATTACGTCATTAGCAACGAATGCCTTGATGACCGGGAAGAAAAGCATCGAAAGCCCTATTGACAAGCACAGATTTTAGTTTTACTACAATAACGGCCATTTTAGTGGTAAAATACAATAGAATATATTTCCATGCGTTGTTTACAATGTATTTCATGCGGAATTTTGAATCTCAAAGGAAGAGTTATTATTGCTTTAACTGGTACAATATTTATAGGATATGTACTTTCACTTTCATATAGCATGTGTTCAACATGTATGGCAATTACTCAATCTTTTCGAAAGGAGAAAATTGTGGATATTACAGATACTGTACTTTTATTTTAAGTCATAATTCCTCAAACTTAGAACATTTCTATTGACTGGTAGCAGCAAAATTAAATAGCAGGCTACTGTATAGTTCTACTGGTACTCTGTGCAGTAAAAGCACCACAAATGCTATATAGAAATATCATTTTTGTCTGAGAATTTGATAATTTCTGCCCATTGAAAAGTTTGAGTAATTACTGTATGTGATCCAACAATAACATATTAATTCTCGGCCTTGTAAGGCCAATACAAAAAGCTTTTAATGACAACAATATTATACAATTTATGGCTTTTGCTAAGGTCAATATACTGTTTTGCTGACCTCAAAAAAGTGATATTGAATTAGGCAAAGCCAAGGTTGTCATCACTTTTCTGATGTCTGACAAATACTGAGCAAAAACAAAATCAGATTATTGGTTTAATACATGTATACACATGCATAAGTTACAACATGTATTTATGTCATTTAAGATGACATCAGCAGTTGCAACATTGTTGTCATCTGACATTGTTGTCTTGTACAATGTATTAATAATTGATAATACTGAGTACGAGTCATTTTATCTGTTTGGACAAAAAAAATCAGTAATTACTTCATTGGTGAATTGTATGTTTGGTGATGATGTTATAGTCAATATTGTGACTTCACAATCCAAATATAAGATCATGTACTTATAAAGAATGCATTTATTTATCACATCACAGAGGGTCCATACCTTCTATATCCTGGCCTAAGGACACCAAGGCAGACGTCTTATCAGCACTGTACTCTATGTGTGTGGCGGGGTCAACGTCTACCCCTCCAAAATATCTCTCTAAGAAAAGACTGAGTGCATCGCCACTGGTCTCAGGATTCAGATTCTGGATAAGAGATAAATATAAGAAATGAGAGAGAATGAGAAAGAAAGACTTTACACATGAGTATACCAACCATTGTTCACTCTCAAATAACCTGAAAATTGTGCATAAAACCAGTGCTGTCTGTAGCTTGATGTATTACACAATGAGTGTGCTCCCAAACTTACAATAGATGGATTTTTTTTTTTTTTTTGCAATTTTTTTTGCAATTTTTTTTTTAAATCCATTCAAGTGGTGACTGATCAGTGAAGTTTTTGTCCCTGCTATTCAGTTTGGCAATAAAGCTAGAGATGATATGTTGATGCTTTTACCAGAAACTTAAAGCCCATTCAAAAATGAAATATTATGAGATATACGGTGATGTCAGAAAGAACATCAAAAAATCACTCAGTACATTAAACTTTAAAACAAATTTTTTGAATAGCAGTGCCTGAGACATTGATCAAAGCCACACCAATTGACTTTGAGGCAACTGGTACTGAAGACGTAATTGAGCACCTACCAAATGAGCTGAACCCATAACACGGCACTGAATGGTATAACCAATAACAGGTCGAAAAAATGCATCAAATTTGATCTAGCTCAGGTGAATTTGTCCTTTGTTTTACTTTAATTGCTATATTACACAATACATATAATTTTTTCCTCTCTTGTTTACAGGTTACTCAATATAACAAAACTGACATTCCTTTTTTCTTAAGAACTATCCTTCAGCTGCATAATGATACATAAATTATTGCTTTATCCTATTTCATTTTCATTTTATAGATTTTTTCCTTCTCATATCCCCGTCTTTTGAGATGCAGCCATTTAACCAACGACGTATATATATGACCATTTACTAGTACATAGTGAAAGCTACTGATTTGAAAGTGCTACCACACATAATCTGCTTTCTGACTAAATGTGCTTTCACATGATACCAATGAACCTTGGTGTTGGTACGGAAGGGACAAAAATTTTGGGGTCTACCTGAAAGATTACAATGTACATGTACATGTACAAAAAAATGTCAAATGGACGAGTACGAACCTTCACTAGAATTCTGCTACACATTGTTTTGCCTTACTTCCACATTCAGCAAATCGGACTCATCCTACAGCATGTCTTGTTGAACTGTAAAACTTGAAAATAATTTCGATATCAAAGTACACTGAGCTACAAGCAAATTTCCGGAAGCCAAAAATAGACTGGCTGAGAAAAACGGAAAGTTGGGAAATGCCCCAAACCATTTGTTTTACAATTCATTAAACCTTAAAAACAACTGATTTTAAGTTATGAGACATTGATGTATCTACATTTATTAATCTATATCACGGACTTCTTCTCCAACATGCGAAATAAGCGTCAAACTTACCCAAATATTCAGCTTGTTTCGTTTTCACAATGGTGGCCCCAGCAATGTGACGTCAAGGGGAAATCCCCCAATTGAAAACGAGGCTCAAGTCATTATCGACAGATCGTCAGAAATGGCCTGATCGGAGCATATTCTTCAGAAAACATGTCCAACTAATGATATCTTTATAAAAAGACACAAATTAGGAGGTAATTTTTTTTATTTTGAGCTTCAAACCCCCCTTTCAGCTAGGTCTTAGAGTTAATGAGCTACGTGATCACGTGGTCCAGTGACGACAAACGTGCCACTGGAGGAGAGCCAGCTTGGGGTATTTAGTAATAATAAACATAAACACACACAATAAGAAAACCGCCGTATTCGGCCTATTTGTTAGATAAATATTGTTACTTTTTAGAATTTGGAGGCTAAAAAACACAAGAGTTGTCCAGCTGGTTCTTATATCGAGGCACAATGTTTTGTTCATGTGCTCCAAACACTAATGTATACGCACCTAACATAGAGGGGTAGATAGTACCGGAGGACACATCCTAGGATTGTGCCGGAAGTGACGTGTAGTGGTGTAAGTCGTGAAGCTGTGTGGTCATTTTTAACTGGAGGTGAACGGGAGTGAAAATGTGGGCTCAGAGAAAAAAAAGCGGTTTTTCCAACAACATGAGATAACATTTTTTTCTTTTGGTATTTTGGGCAGTAAATACTTGTAGAAATAATGGGTACCTGAGATGAAAACGTGTTACGATACCTGAAGGTGCAAAATCTTGCTTAAAGATACATACGAACCGAGCATCGTTGAAGCGTGGATTCCCAGTAACACATGTAAACCACTCTCTATGTTTCTTATATGACTCAAATAAATTCGACATGCCAAAGGATAAACTGAATAGATCACTCGATCAGCCATAAAGACCTTTCTCTAAATTTTTGGTTGGAAATTTAACCTACCGGTACTTTCGTGACCTACTTTTCTGCCCCATTGACATACAACATTGAATGCTAGCAGAAGAATCCGTTTAAACGTCATTTTCGGGTAAATTTTAACAATGCCTTTTATACTATTGAAACTATAACCTATGCTGGTATTTGGTCGGTTTTTGTGGCAAAAAAATTGACTTTGGATGCATCTTTAATTTGCAGTCAATTTGTTTTGAAATATGCGCTGCATCGACCGACAGGGCGACAAAGAGCGTCAAGGGAAAATAATTCTCGCGAGGCTGTAAATCGTTGTCATGTGGATTTTTTGCACGTATGTAATCTGATATGCGCATATCTAATTATTTTTGGGTGATTTATGGTATGTGGTGCAATTATAACGATGTTTTAGAGTCTAAATTTGAAGAGCTTGTGAAAACCAGCGGTTTTTTAATCAAGGGTTCATTGGTCCGAAGGTTCTGTAGTGAACATTCGGACCATTGAACCTTCGGACTATTGAACCTTCGGACTATTGCTACGGCCCCCATATTTCGAGTAGTTATATGCATTTAAAAGCACTTATCTGTTTTTTTGATAACCTTATCCAACGTTATATCCTCTGCACTCTGCACTTCTCTCATTTTAACAAACTTTTAAGTGCGTTTCTGTTTGTGTCCTCTCGAAATGCTAGACGAAGGCATCTAATCTGACAAACGAGATTTAAATATGAGAGCGTAACAGAGATAGTCACCCGTTGTTGTCAGGGTTCTATTCATTTCGACCAATGAGAGACCGTCAAACGGGCTCCGCCCCCACGCGTGTAATCTCCTTCTGTTATCACTCCTTGATTGAACTTTGATATCGATATTATTTTCAATTTTGGCAGTTCATCAAGACATTCTGTAGTATAAGTCCGATTTGCTGAATGTGGAAATAAGGCGAAACAATGTGTAGCAGAATTCTAGTGAAGGTTCGTACAAGTCCATTTGGCATTATAGTCAATATACCTCCGCCAAGGAGGTTATGTTTTGACTCCTGTTTGTCTGTCTGTCTGTCATCAAAATAACTCAAAAAGTTATATACCGATTTTGATGAAATTTTCAGGAACTGTCAGAAGTGGGCCAAGGAAGAGATGATTAGTTTTTGGTGATGATCCGGATCAATAATCAATCAATAATCAATAATAAAAAAAACTACGTTATGGACCAATTTTGATGACATTTTCAGGAACTGTCAGAAGTGGACCAAGAAAGAGATGATTAGTTTTTGGTGATGATCCGGATAAATAATCAATCTATAGTCAATAATAAAAAAACTAAGTTATGGACTGATTTTGATGAAATTTTCAGTTACTGTCAGTAGTGGGCCAAGGAAGATAAGATAAGTGCTCTATAATGTCACAGGTGGAGTCAAAATCAGTGTAATCTCTGCAATCTCTCAGTAATCTCAGTGTAAAACAAAATAAAAGTATAAGCATCAGGAGTCATCTAACTAGGAACATTCTGGGCAGACTGATCAATAAAAGCGACCAAACTTGAATTGATTCAGTAGCTTTTCCCACCATAACACCAAGTCATACCGTGGCGGATTAAGGGTTTCTTTAAAAAAAAGATTTTTTTATTGAAATTAGAATTTTGATTAGCTGATTCATAGTTCTAAACCATACCAAATGTCACCATTTGCCCTCCAAAACACTCCAAGTGAGCCAAGGGTCGGGTTCTTATCCGAGACCCCCATTCAAATAATCCTGGATCCGCCCCTGGAGACTGTCAATTTAATGTTTGGCTATAACGTAAAATTGTCACCTGAACGGCTAACTTTTGGGTACCTTGGAGCCTGAAAAAGGGAGTAGACCCTGAATTCCCCTGATCGAATAAACAGTAAGAACCTGGTTATGTGGCATGGTAAAGAATGGTGGATTTAGGGGGATCAGGGGGTCCTGATCCCCTTCGATTTCTGAAAAAATCACACGAATGATCCCCTCTTCAAATTAGTTTTGACTAGCTGAATCATAGACTGGGTTCCCACAGATTTAAATTGATCCATCTTGATGGACCTAACTCCCTGGGGGTTCACGCTAAATTGCTGCCAGCCGAGCGCGCACAAAAGTTAATTACCCCCTTTCAGCTTTTAGTAGGTGGGACAGACTGGCTAATCTGACAGCTGGCTAATCTGACAGCAATCTAGTGAGACTCGCCACGGGGATAGATCGATCTAAAATCTGTGTGAATGCAGTCATAGTTATAAACCATACTGTGTGGCACTGTTCACTCTCTAAAATACCAATATTTTTCTGGTCCCTGCAGCAGGCCCTGGATCCCATGCCAAGTGGGTTGTGGGGGGGGGGGGGGGGTCAGCTTCTCATCCGCCGACCCCCCCCCCCTTCAAAAAATCCTGCATCCACACCTGACATGAATGCACCTAGAGAAACATTGCAAAAAAATCAAACTCTTGTAAGTTTGGGAGCATGCACATTATTTACATAATGCATTAAACTGGTTTTATGTATAATTTTCAGCTTATTTCAGAGCGTAAAAAGGTTAGTGCATAGTTAACCATGCAGGTAAAGTCTCTCTTTCTCAATGTCTGTCATTCCTTGTGTTCTATTCTGCTTCAGAACCTGAATCCTGAGACCAGTGGCGATACACTCAGTTATTTTTTTGAGAAATATTTAAGAGGGGTAGACGTTGACCCCGCCACACAGATAGAATACAGTGCTGATAAGACTTCTGCCTTGGTGGCCCTAGACCAAGACATAGAAGGTACAGATTATCTGTGATGTGATAAATAAATGCATTCGTAATAAGTAAACTGTATGATCTTATATCTGGGATTGTAAATTCTGATAAAACATAGCAATGGCTAATAACATCACCATCAAACATCTTTTTGAACGATGATGAAATTGCTGATTTTTTTGTTCAAACAGAAGAAATGAAAATCTGTATTATCAATAACTAGTACATTATACATGGCAACAATTAAGATGACAGCAATGCTGCAACTGTTGATGTTATCTTAAAGGACATAAATACTGTTACATGCTGTATTGATGGCTAATGTGATTTTGGGCTTTTGATCAATGAGTTGGCTGTCTAATTCAATATCAATTTTCTTAAGGTTTTCAAAACAATGTATTGATCAGAAGTAATGCTTAAGTGCTTAAAAAGAAACAGTTTTGTGATGGATATCTGTTTATTAGGCGTTATGCAGTACATGACTGTTAATATAATATAATATGCCACGTGAAATGGATGTTTCAACTCAGTAGTACAGTACCATCTTCTATAAATGGGCTTTTCAAGAAAAGTGACAAAACTTTGTGGGAATTATATGAATATCCTTCTATTATTTGTACAGTGTAGTTCTTCTTCTGTCCTTTTAACTTTCAGTTACAATTTTCCAGATATCGGAAACCTATTTAAGGATGCCAAACCACTGGATGGGAATGTCTTGTCTATAACAGAAGCACCACCTATAGACTCCATTCGTATTACAAGCATACCAAAAGATGTCACTAAAGACCATGTGGAGTTTTATTTTGAACAGAAGGCAACAGGTGGTGGGAAGATACAGAAATCTTTGACACTGTGTAACTTGGATCGTGGATATGCAGTGCTTACATTTGAAGACCCAAAAGGCAAGTTGAATTGGTACTGGTATATACAATGTTTGCTACCTACTGTTTAGTTTAGTATGTACATTGGTCTAATAGGTGTATTAGAGTGATAATATATGTGGAATTTCATGTCAGCTGAACATAATCATCTAAATACTCGTAATAATATTAAAAAAAAATAATAAATCACTGTACAGTGCATGGTTCAGTATGATTCAGTTGTTATTTCCTAATTCCTTGTTTTCACAATGTCCTTTAAGGACTTTCAGACATCATCATAATTGCAGCACATATAATAAAACACTCAAAAATAATTGCATATGGGCGTATCAGATTAGATACATGCAAAAATTGCAAATGACAATGATTTACAGCCTTGCAGGAATTCTTTTCCCTTTACACTCTTTGTCAGGCTGATGATAAATGCAGCAATATTTCAAAACAAATTGACTGCAAATTAAGCAAGATTTTGCACCTCACTTTTCGTAAAATTTTTATATCATATACCTATTATTTCTACAAGTATTCTCTGCCCAAAATGCCAAAAGAAAAAATGTTTATCTGACCATCTTGTTGAAAAAAAGCTGCTTTTTTCTCTGAGCCTGCATTTCTCCCATTCATCTCCAGCTTCATGTCTTACACCACAAGACGTCATTTCCGGTGTCACTTGTACAATCCTGACCGATTGTACACGCAGCAGACGCGTGTATAAGCCGTTCCGTGAATGATCCGTTGTTATTCACCTGTACTGTTATATGCAGCTAGTTCATTTCCTACCTCATTTTACATTTACTATGTTGGGGATATTTCTAGATAAAATTCATGTGTAAATTGATAATTTTAATAGAAAATCAGCGTCAAATTACAGTTCACCACATGGATGAAGCTACTGCGGACAAGCCGTTGTTATTCAACTGTTGGCCTACTATTTTTGTATTGATTTTACTAGGCTAGTGTGTTGATATGGCCACCTGAGGAAAATCGCAGAAGAGGTGAACATCTATAAGATATGAATACTTCTAAATATTATGTTTGAATTTGCAGTATGTTCTCAACAGTGCATGTTTATTAAAGGCTAATAGTCTGGATGACTGGTGCTATATTTTGGCCAAATTGCTCAAAATGTAGAAAAAGCATGAAACTTGGGACAAATGTTCTTTGGTCTATGCTGATCATTTTCAAGGGCAGTGCCCAAAATTTCAAAGCGTTGCTTAGCAACCGTTGCTATGGAAGTGAATTTCCTTAGTAACAAGCTAATTAGACCTTTCTTGTCCAGTTAAAATGGTTTAGAATTGCTAAAAACTATGTTTCAGGGCATCAGAACTATCACTAGACTATTTTAAGGCAATTTAAACCCAAATTAACCTAAGCCATGATTGCTAGGCAGCATATTACCTTAGCAACAAGCATTTAAAGTTGTGTTAGTCTATTAAGTAAGGCAAATCTATAATACTAGCTAAGAACTACACTTTTGAGCAAGATGTTCATACTTTTAATCCAGTAAGTTAAACCAATTGTGTGTTAACACACATCCGATCAAATAAATTGCCAGTGCAGATACTTAAGGCAGCATGTTCAAAATTAGTAACCAGCCATTTCTATGATTTTATCACCTTACGACTCTTTATAAAACTTTGCAATAGTTAATAATAATAATAATAATAATAGTTAATTCTCCCTTGTATGTGCAATATACAGTGCATTTTGCCCTTGCACATTGTCAGCCTCTACATCTGCACCTACATGCACACTGGAGCAACTCTGGACAGGTCAATAGCTTCTGGCAAATGTGCCCACATAGGCCCACTGTTCCGCACAAGTCCAACCAGAGTGAGCACATGGTATCTGATGACATGGCACCGTAGTGCTGATTCAGATATGTTCATCTTGCAAGAATACTCTTATATTGTTGTAGAGCAGCCTTGGTGGAAGTAAGATATGGCATCTAACAGCCTTTGGGTGTGAACAGAAACTTTTGAACTTCATTGATTAACAAATAGAATTAAAATAGAACCATGCAGGTGTATTTAAGTTACTTGGTAGAGAATAGAAACTGACAAAATACAATGTGAAAAACTCTTTAGAAAATATTAAACAAAATGAAAAATATCTTGGAAATCTGGTCTCTGAGAAACCTTTCAATAATAGGAAAGTCAACAGTGGTTAAACCTTTAGTATTTCTCATCTTACGTAGGGCATGTATAAACTCTCCTACCAGTCCCCCTCCCTCAATACTTAAAATATGCATATCATATTTAACTTTATCAGGAATGGAAAAAGATACAAAATAAAATGGGCAAGGATGGCGTCTGATTACAAAAATGGACGGTAAAAGGTACCCCAAATGAAAATTTTACCAAGGCCCTAAACTTTACATGGCTTAAAACACTTCTTTATGAAGATAATAAGAGTAAGTGGAGAGCGTTTTTTTCGGCTAAATGTCAGGAATCGGTAGTAACAAAAGGTAGATTAAAAATACTAAAAGCAACTTCTTATCCCTTTTGGCAAAGATTATTGGATCTTTGAGTGAAATTCAGGAAAATTTCAATTTAACCCCAGATGAAATCTTATCACAACCATTATGTCAAAACTCAAACATTGAAAGAAATTAAAAAACTATTTTCCATAAAAGATGGTGTAAAAATGTTTTTGTTTTTTTACATCAATGATATTGTAAATGACATTTGAAATCCCTTCTGTCTATAGGAACTTAACAAAAAATCAACCTTAACACTAACTTTCTGGGCTCATTCAGCATGTTAAATACTTGCTGCTAGGGTAATATGCTGCCTAGCAACTGTTGCAATGGTTTACTTGGGTTTTTAATGTCTTAAAATAGTATAGTGATCGTTCAGATGGTTTGAAACATTATTAAAAGCCTTTTTAAATCATTTAAACTGAACAAGAAAGGTCCAATTAGCTTGTTACTAAGGTAAATCACTTCCTTAGCAACGGTTGCTAAGCAACGCTTTGAAATTTTGGGTACTGCCCTTGAAAATGATCAGCATAGTCCAAAGAACATTTGTGCCAAGTTTCATGCTTTTTCCACCTTTTGAGCAATTTTTGCACCAGTCATCTAGACTATAAGAATGTACTGAAGACTCTATAGAGACGGACTGTACACGCTGGAAGTCTTTCAGATTTGCCTGCACTTAGTGCGCATGAGCAGAACGGATGGTTCACGCTCCGAGCGGTACACGCCACACCGGCACAAACCTGTCTCCTTCGGTACCCTCTATTATCCTATTGGTTGAAGTGCCAACAGTGGTATATAAGCATATTTATTGGCTGTGCTGTCAGTACAAAGTGAACCAGCCCAATTAAGTGTGAAAAAAAGCCACTGGTACATGTATTCTTACAGTCAGTTATATGGGTGGGCACTTTGCCTTAGCAACTGGCAAGTCCATCAGAAATGGGAGAAAACAAAACGAAACACATGGCAGTTTGCACTGACATCTTTGTTAAAGATGTCAAACTATGTCCAATGATATCATACTTCATAGTAAGAAAAATCATAGAAGTAGAGAAAAATTTACAAGTTTTCAATGAAGTGATTGAAAATTTACCTGTCATATTTGCCAGTAATGCAATATGTCGAAAGTTATTAGTACAGTTGACACCTTCTTTGATAAAATCGATTTCTTCCGTGATGATATCGTTGAAGAGATGTGAATATTATTACTCATCCAGGTAAGCAAATGAGTCTTTGCAATTTATTGTTTTAATTAGATTCCAGATGACAGCTAGATAACGGTCGGCAGTTAAGGCTGATTTTCTCTCTTTACCAGGCTAATTACAAAGGCCTGTAAAGGAAATCAACCAGGTAAATAGCTCACCCTCCCTGACACAAGTCGAGAACTGTGAAGTATGATATATCATTAGACTTAGTCTATGAACTTAAACATACCTGTAGAAGTCAGTGCAAACGGCCATGTTTTTTTATTTGTTTCGGTTGCTAATACATGTGGTGTAAGAATAACTTACAGTGGTCCATTGTAATAAAAAGAATTGGAAAGTGTACTTTCTGTATGCCTTTTACATTACGGTAATGTGCCATGAATTTCATATAGTAGAAAATGATTAAATTTGGAAAAAGATTGTTTTGGTCGAAATTCATGAAATGGAGGTGTTCAGAACTTCCAAATGTTCGAATTGCATGGAATTCTGTCAATTTTGACCGAAGTTGTCTGTTCGTTGATATAGACCTTATGTTACCTTAATTCTCCTGACGATCTATTTAGAGTTACCATAATGTATGATAGGTGAGTGTCGTTAATTGCGACCCAAGGGATACATGTAAATTCACCTGATCACTGCATGTGTATGGCCCAAGGTGCTACATAAGGAGTGGTACTGTTGTCTAGGGACGCAAAACAGCATCGTTATCAGTAGTGTTGTTTTTCAAAAGCGATTCTGGCAGTCAGAAATTAATGTTGTTATTCGAAAACGATCTTGCAATCAGAACGGCAGATGTGTCTGTACATATTGCCATCACCTGCGTCGGTCGTCGCCGTTGCCGTCGCCAATGCTGATGGCGATGCCGATGTCAGCGCCGTGCACTTTCCTTGTAAACACGATAAGTGGAAGGCAGTTTTACTTTTTGGCTTTGTATTTACAGAGCTGATGAATATTCATAAAACGCAGGTCAAGTTCGAAAATCAGCATGATCGGGCCATAATTGTAGAAGTTATGCTGTTTTTTCACTTTTCAGCATATTTTTCTCATTTCCTCAGATTCAATTCTTAGGCATGTTAACAGTCTCATTATTAAACTAATAAGATACGTAAAAGTTTTTGTTTGACATTTCCTGCATCTTTACAACATTGTTAGTTGATTTTGTAAAAATGATGGTTAATTTGTTATCGTATATTATGTAATAAAGTTTCAAAAATGGAAATAAACTCATATCATTGCAGTTTGTCAGATTCAATCATTCACTATGTTCAGAATCTCAGAATGGAAGAAATTGGACATTTAACACTGCTTTATTGATATTTTTCCCATCTCATCAATTTTCTTAG